TGGGACCACCCTTGGCCCCAGACAGGTGCCAAGCACCAGAGCGGGGAAGCCCCCATCCACCATTCTTGCTCTGCTCACAGATGGGGCCCATGGGAAGGGGACGGAGGCAGGAGGGGAGCCAGGCCAGAAGCAGGACAGGACGAGGCCACGGAGGACACAGGCGGCCAGCAACAGGAAGCAGTGGGAAGGAGGGGCAGGAGAAGAGTGGACAGGCTGGGGAGGGGGGGCTGGCACATGGGCTCCAGGCAGGGGAGGGCCCAGGGTGAAGGGGCCTCCAGCATGGGGCCACGAGGGGCAGGGTGCAGGGACGCTTGGTGGGGGGTGGGGGCGGCGGTCACTCTGCACACTGGGTGGCCGCAGGGCTCGAGGGCCTCATCCCGTCACAGTCCCAGACAGAACGAGAACCACACACATCTGCTGCCCCATGCATGTCCTACCTGGAGGCCCCGTAGGTTTGACTTTGCGAGCTTTCAAGTGTTCACACACACACAAAGGGAAAAGAACGGGATAAGAAAAAGAAAATGAAACGAATAGTCAAGGAGAGGAGGGGAACAACAGAACAAAGAGAATGAGCGCAAGGGCCGGTTCTGCCCTGCGGGGCTGGGAGGGCACTCTGCAAGCACAGGCACAGGCCACATCCCAGGACAGGCGGGCTTCCAGGAGGCGCGGGGGGAAGGGTCGGGACGACTGCAAACACAGAGGGCCGCCAAGGGCTCTGGCACCCTCCTCCCAGGTGACACCCTGAAAGGCAGGTTGCAGCTGAGGATGGCCAAGGGCCTATCCACCCTCTCCAACTCAGGAGCCTCAAGAGGACCCCGGGCCCCGCCCCAAGCCAAGAAGTCCCAGCCAAGCTGTGCACCCAGCCCACCCTCAGGGAAGGCTCCAGGGGACAGACACCCCCTAGGAGTGGGGGGGCACCTGAGCTGGTAAGTCCCCAGGCTCCGTTCCCCACCTCACAGCAGAGGGCAGGCTGGCAGGGTGGGGCGCACCCAGATGGACTGAGGGGTCAGGCCCGCGTGCACTGGGTGAAAAGCCCTCAGAATCCCTCATCTCAGACCTTAATTTAAGCATGAGCCCGGCATGGACTATCCCCACTGGCTGCCATCTACCCTTGTGAAAGAGAAACACAGGAGCCGCCCTCCGCCTAGAGGGTCACCAGACCTGCAGGCACTGCCCCCCAGGGCCATGGACTGGCACTTTCTAGGCTCCTTATCTGCTGCCCGAGGGCCTCCAAGGGTGTCTGTGTGCTCTGTGCTGTTGGTAGGCACCTGGGACCCCCAGGATAATTCGGGTCTCCTGGTCTGAAAGCCTCGCTGTGAGCCAGGGTCACTTTCCCACCCCTCCACCCCACGCAGGACCCTGGTCTTTGCTAGGGGACGGGGTTGGTGCTGGCTCCACTCATGAAGCCTGGGCACCTGGAGCTGCAGGAAGATCCGGAGCCGCCTGGGGGGCATTCACCGTGAGCCCCCTGGGGAGGGGCGTCCTCGCAAGGCACACAAACAGCACGACCACAGCAGGACACCAAAGCAAAGGGCGGGGAAATGAAGGTGAAAACAGCCGCAGCTGAACTCAGGGCAGAACCAACGCCTTGAAATAAACCACACACAGAACTCCTTTGTGAAGAACACGTACATTTTAAAGAAAAAAAATCAAAAGAATGAACAACAAAAACGGGGTTTTAAGAACAAATGGAAAATGAAAACGGAAGGGATGCTGGTGGCGGTGTGCGTCGGCGGCGGTACCTGTACATGGGCACGGTGACTGTGCGCTCGTAGTACTGCCACGTGGAGCGCAGGTCCGTGCGCGAGAGGTTGGTGGCGTAGAATCTCCAGGCCGACTGCAGAGGGAGAGACAGGCGGGCGGTCGGCCGGGCTGGCAGCCAGGGCACGCCCAGGAGGGCCGGGCACAGAGGGGACGGGGCAGAGGGGACCTGGGACACCCATGCTGTGAGCCAGGCACGTGGGACTCTCGGCCAGCAGGCCGGCCCCAGTGCTGCATCCGTCCCCACAGCCTCAGTTTACCCTCTGCAGGACAGACAGGGGAAGAAGGGGAGCAGCCGGGGCCTGACTCGGGGCCCACAGGAGCTCACAGGGAGGCCATGCTCTGTTCTGTTCATGCCTCTCACCTGGCCCCTGGCAGGTATCACCTGTCATGGGGGTTACCTTCTGCCCCGCAGGGCCAGGGACCCCAGCCGCCATCCTCCCAGGGTGGTAGCCCAGCCCAGGGAGGCTTCCCCAGCAGGGGGTGGGCACTCAGCCAACGCGGGCAGGAGCCTGCGGGTTGGACTGAACCCACCTGGCCAGATCTCCGGTTCTCTGTGCCTTTGCTTTGCTTTGCAGTGCTGAAATACGTATATCTCTTACCATAAAGCTCGCGGGGTTAGCCATCTTGAGGTGCGCATTTCAGCAGCCCCGGTACTCACAGTGCTGTGAGACCACTATCACTACTGAACTCGGCAACCTCTTCACCCCCCCGAAGAAGCCCCCTACCGTCAGACACACTAAGCAGGCACTCCTGGCCCCGGCCCCCCAAGGCCCTGGCCACTGCCAGGTGCTTGCTGGGGTCTCCACGGACTCCCCCTCCACCGAGTGTGTCCTGGCGTGTCAGCACCCGCTCCTCCTCGTAGGAGGCTTGTACGGGGAAATCACGCTCTGTTCATCCATTAATGAGCGTTTCGGCTGTTTCTACGCTTTGGCTCCTGTGAGTGCTGCTGCTGTGAAACACGTGTGCACGTTTTTGGTTGAAGATCTGTTTTCAATTATTTTGTGTCTACACCTCGAGGTAGAATTGCTAGGTCACGTGATAATCCCACGTTTATCGACTATTTGAGAATCAATCAAACTGGTTTCCAGGGTAGCTGCATCGTTACATTCCTACCAGCAAGGGGTCCCCATTTCTCCACATCCTCACCGACACTGATTTTCCATTTGCCAAACTGTTAGCCACCCTGGCCCGGCCCGGAGGCTCATGCCAGCAATCCCAACACCTTGGAGGCTGAGGCAGGTGGATCGCCTGAGCCCAGGAGTTCAATACCAGCCTGGGAAGCATGGCAAAACCCTGCAAATAAAATAAAATAACATAAAATAAAATAACATAAAATAAATAATAAATAAAAAATAAATAAAATAAAATAAAAATTAGCCGGGTATGGTAGTGCACACCTGTAGTCCCAGCTACTCAGGAGGCTAAGCGGGAGGATCGCTTAAACCCGGGAGGTGGAGGCTGCAGTGAGCCACGATCACGCCACTGCAATCCAGCGTGGGCGACAGAGCAAGACCCTGTCTCAAAAAAAAAAAAAAACTTGGCCATCCTAACACGTGAAGTGGCGTCTCTCTGTGGCTTTGATTTGCACTTCCCTGACACCCGCCAGCACTAGGCGGTCTCTTCAGGAGCTTAGTGGCCACTCCGAGTGTCCTCTTTGGAGGACGTCTGGGCGAACCCTTTGCCCGCAGTCTGTAGGGCTGTCTTTCTGTTACTGAGTTGTGAGCGTTCTTAATACAATACTAACCCTTATCACAGACACACTTCGCAGCATTCTTCCCCATTCTGTGGGTTGTGCTTTTGCTGTTATATATTTTTTAAAATCCAGATCACGGAGATTTATGCCTGTGTGTTCTTCAGAGGATTTTTATAATTTTAGTTAATTTTTGTTAATTTTTGTACATGATATGAGAGTCAAACTTCATTCTTTAAAGAACAGACACCTGATTGACCCAGCACCACTGGTTGAAGAGACTATTCTTTCTCCACTGGACCTGGCACCCTTGAAAACTGACCTCAGATGCATGGACGTAATTCTGACTCTCAATTCCATCCCCTTGCCCTGTATGTCTGCCTTATGCAAATGGCACACTGTTTTGATTACTGTTGCTTTGTAGTAAGTTTCAAATCGGAAAGTGTTAGTCCTACAACTTTGTTCTTCCCTTTCAAGGCCGTTTTGGCCAATTGTTTTGGTCCGTTACAATTCCATATGAATCTTAGGATCAGCCTTTCCACTTCTGCAAAACAAAGAAAAGGTGGGGGGACATTGGAATGACAGTAAGAATTGCACCGACTCTGTAGATCCATTTGCATTGTACTAAATATGTCGCTCCAATTTTGTTAAGATGATATTAATAAAATTAAGTCTTCCAATCCATGGAAACAGGGCGTCTTTCCACTTTAGGTCTTTGTTATCATAATTTTCTTTTTTGAGACAGAGTCTCGCTCTGTCACCCAGACTGGGGCATGGAGGTGCGATCTCAGCTCACGGCAACCTCTGGCTGTTCTCCCACCTCAGCCTCCCAAGTAGCTGGGACTACAAGCACGCGCTGCCACACCCAGCTAATTTTTTATTTTGTTTTGTTTTAAGACAGAGTCTCGCTCTGTCCCCCAGGGTGGAGTGCAATGGCGAGATCTCGGCTCACTACAACCTCCGCCCCCCAAGCAAATCTCCTGCCTCAGCCTCTCCAGGAGCTGGGATTACAGGTGCGAACCAGCATGCCCAGCTAATTTTCGGATTTTTAGTAGAGACAGGGCTTCTCTCCATGTTGGCCAGGCTGGTCTCAAACTCCTGACCTCAGGCAGTCTGTCTCCCTTGGCCTCCCAAAGTGCTGGGATTACAGGCGTGGGCCACCTGGCCTTGCGTTCGAAGGGTTTTGATTAATGACTCAATCTCTTCGCTTGTTCTCAGGTCTCCGATTTGCTGCTTCTGAGTCAGTTTTTGTAGCTTACGTGTCGCAGAGATTTGTCCCTTTATCTGGGTTGTGAGCTTGCGTGGCACAGCTGTTCACAGTGTTCTCGAATCTTTAGTTCTGGGAAGTCAGTAGCAACGTCTCCACTTTTATGTCTGATTTTGGCAACCCAAATGCTCTCTCTTCTTTTCTTAGTCTGACTAGAGATTTGTCAATTTTCTTTTTTTTTTTTTTTTTTTTTTGAGACAGAATCTCACTCTGTTGCCCAGGCTGGAGTACAGTGGTGTGATCTCAGCTCACTGCAAACTCTGCCTCCCAGTTTCAAGCGATCCTCCTGCCTCAGCCTCCTGAGCGGCTAGGATTACAAGTGCCCACCACCACACCCAACTAATTTTCGTATTGTTAGTAGAGACGGGAATTCCCCATGTTGGCCAGGCTGGTCTTGAACCTGACCTTAGGTGATCCGCTTCAACTTCCCAAAGTAAGTACAAGAGTGAGCCACTGTGCCCTGCCCAATTTTGATTTTTTTCAAAGATTCAACTTTTTTGGTTTCGTTGAGTCTGTCTACTTTTTAAGTTTATCTCTGTTTTTAAATTTATTTTTTGCTCTGTTTTGGGTCTTGCTCTGTTGCCCAGGCTGGAGTGCAGTGGCCCAATCAGAGATCACTGCAGCCTCCAAACTCTTGGGCTCACACGATCCTCCCACATCAGCCTCCCGAGTAGCTGAGACCACAGAAAAATTAGCTGGGCGTGGTCATGGGTGCCTATCATCCCAGCTACCTGAGAGGCTGAGGCAGGAGAACTGGTAGAACCCAGCAGGCAGAGGTTGCACTGTGCCAAGATCTCGCCATTGCACTCCAGCCTGGGAAACAGAGAGAAACTCTATCTAAAAAAAAAAAAAAAAAAAAAAAAAAAAAAATGGGGTCTTTGTTGCCAAGGCCATAGCTAGCCTTCAACTTCTAGTCTCAAGGGATCTGCCCACACAGCCTCCCAAGGCCCCGGTAACGGCGTTTGCCACCAGCAAGAAGAGCCTCTGCAGGTGTGTGACGGCTGGTGACGGAACTGCAGGCAGCGCTCACTGTCCGGTCTGAACACCCTGGGGCCCTGGGGACGATGTGGAATCTGCTCTGCAAATGCAGCCAAGGCTGCAGGACAGCTCGTCTGCTTCCAGCATGCTTTACTAGATACTTTAAGCCCACAGCTTAGAAAAAAACATTCCTTCCAAAATATTACTGCTCCTTGACAATGCACCCTGTCACCCCAGGGCTCTGATGGAGACAGACAGCGAGATGGATGTGTATTCATGCCTGCTCAGACAGCACCCATTCTGCAACCATCCATCAGGGGTGCCTTTAACTTCCAAGTCTTATTTCAGAGACACGTGTGGCCAGGCTGTGGCTGCCACAAACAGCGATTCCTCTACACAGACAGCGATTCCCCTGCCACAGACAGTGATTCCTCTATCATAAAGTACGATTCCTCTGATGGGTCTGGGCAAAGTAAATTGAAAACCTTCAGGAAAGGATTCACCATTTAAATGCCATTCACAACAGTCGATTGGTGGGAGGAGGTGAAAATATCTCAGTAACAAGAGTCTGGGAGAAGTTGATTTCGACGCTCATGGAAGACTGAGGGTTCAAGACTTCAGAGGAGGGAGGCACTGCAGATGTGGAAACGGCAGAACTGGAACCAGACGTGGAGCCTGAAGATGGGGCTGAAGTGCTGCCGTCTCAGGATAAAACTCTAACAGATGAGGAGCGGCTTTTACAGGTGAGCCCAGTAAGTGGTTTCCTGGTACGGACCGTGAACGCTGCAGACAGCAGCGGGAGACCACTTCTACCAGCCCCAAAGCAACTGGAGCCAGGCAGCATGAGGCGGGAGGGCCCACGCCCGCGAGGCTGACACGAGGACGATGCCATGAATGTTCTAAAGTGACCCCACGAGGAGTTCCTTGTCAGGACCACAGCGATTCGGATGAGATGCTCCAGGAAGAACACTGGCCCAGCAGCGCCAAAATCTCCACCCATGAACAGACGCCAATCTGGTTTTCAGCCTCCGGAACTGACGAACTCCGTTTCCAGGCAGCTCACGTGAACTTCTAGGCTCATGAGAGCTCCCTGCCCCTCCCCCTCTGGGCACACGGGCATCTCACC